TTTTAGAATTTCTCTTAAAAGGCTCAATAATCATAGCTGTTTTAAAAATTCAAGTATGATCCTCAACAAAATGCCTGGCTCAACATTATCGATTATTTTTCATGTAAATAGTAACTGCCAGTATAAAAGCTGAAAACAATCAATCCAAATTGAGTGATCCTGCTTATGACAGATAAATATAATCTCTGAAAAGTGTAATCAAGAATATAAGTGTTTCCAAAAAAAGTAACCTCAAATGCATTTATCTATTAATTTAAATACTCCTTCAACCTAAAACCCCGATTAAAAGGTTTGCTTTTTGCTCTTCTCTTAAATCGCTCTGGACTTCATCAATAGGCCCAGCTGTTAAATTCGGGAGCAATGACAACAGATCCCTGGGCAAACAACTGCTTTGAGTAAGACCCTTTCTCTAGAAGAATCAGAGGTAGCTGACAAAAGAGGGACATACCAACTGCCCTTTCAAAATTCCATTAACAAATTGGACAGAAGCAAAATAAACACACACATTTATATACATCTTGAAGCAAATTATAAGTCTACCCCTCAGTGGATCCTGCTTTGTTAAAAAGTAAAAAAATCCAACAACTTTGAAAACCAGTGAGACAGTGTTACACATTTCTGAAAATGAGAAATAAGCCTCGCTAATCAAGTGCAAAGTAGAAAAAACGGGTTCCATTACCCAGTGATTATCAGGTAGATTGACTTTTAGATTGACTCTAAGAACCAAGTGTCATATAAATAAGACTATAGATATATATAGATACACACACACACACACACACACACACACACACACACACACACACGCTTTTACTTCCCTGAGTTAACTGATGCAATTTTAAGATGGCCAGTTTTTAAGTGAAACATGTACTTTTGAACCACACCCCCTTCTCTTCAAAGATGATTTTTCTTGGATCCCAGGAAGCATCATCTGAACCTTACCTACAGTGTTGGCAGACTGATCTCTCTAAATAGCTCACTTCTTATTTTCCCAAAATAAATTTACTTTTACTTTTGTGTTAGCATTCTTGAATTAGGGTTGGTAACTGTTAACAGCTTGATTGAAGTGAACATGTAAAGAGGTAAGAGACGCTGTCCTTTACAGCATCTACAAATCTCAATAAAAAGTGACACTGTAGCAACATCTCGCCTATCTTGGGTCCAGGATCATTAATGAAACTCAAAATCTAGGCTAATATTCTCATGGTTCCTATCTTTCTCGTTTCAATGTATCTACCACCCACCCTCTTTCTTTTTAACATGACCCTTTAGATGTTTTCAACGTATTTTAACTTCACATTTCAAGATCAATTTTGGGCTATGATTTATGTATTACTCTTTAAGATAGAAACCACAGAATAGTTTTCATTTAATCTCACACAAAAAACCTCAAGTTTCATCTCAATTTAAACTCAAGTTATAAACATTCTATTCACAGGGGAAAAAAATCAACATCCTTTTAAAGGAAACGACTATTGCTACGTAAAGTTATAGAAATGCACCCCTCCAACAACAGTATGAATGCCAAAACTAATGCCAAATTTTTGAAAAAAAAATCCATTATGAAGTTACATTAATTCCTATTGTCTTCCAGGTACAAATGCTTACTTAAAAAATTACTTTTCATCCAAGTGAACAGTCCTGAAAAACCTAAGAAATATAAGCCAGCTTTATGTTCTCTTTCCCTCTATCCTAAGACTTCAATTTCCACCTTTTATGGAAAGGAAATAAACAACTAGCTTCCTGTTCAATCACTAGCTTACAGCCAGTCTTTTACACATCACAGAACACAACCCGCCTCCTCCTTTACTTCTCTCAAATGTCTCTTATCTTAATTTAAACTTGTTGAAATATGAGACTGTTTTACCACACTAATGCTTTCCTATGAAATTTATCTTACTTATTTCAACATTAAGAATGCAAGAAACGTCAAGATGTCCATAGATTACTTTTTACTCCTAAAACACTGAAATCAAATTATTTACATAGTGAAGACTTAGCACCCATGGAAGTGAGAATTCGATTTGCCAAAAGTTTAGAATATTGAAAGTTATAGCAAATGGTTTAATCCTCTGTGCTTACTATATACAACGAGAAAAAGGGCCTCCCCCACCACTCCCCTTTCTAGTCCAATTACATGAAAATGTAAAACAGCTAAAAATGGCTATCAACAAAAAGGATTACCTTTTTTAAAAAAAAACTAAATATTACTTTAACCCTATATTTTCCTTTAAAAATGGGATGCCTTAGAAAAACGAAGTTAGACAAATTCTTTTGTGCTTGGATGAACAACAGGAGAGCAAAGCCTCCAGGCCTTTGGGGAGGAACCTTGTCCCCGAAGCAGGCTCTGATGTGCTTGGGAGATAAGGCTCCATAGTGACACTTAAGGAAAGGCCTGTTCACATTTGAATTTCTGCATTCCTCAAGAACAATTCATGGCAATAACTAACTTTGCAGAAGAGCTACATGAAAGCTTTGGCCAATGAATGAGGGTCATCTGCTCTTTATCACAAGGGTAAACCTCATCCTGGCCAGTTTCTAACCTTTTAACCCTGTGAATTCCTAATTTACACATGAATAATGGAATTCTTGCCTAGAGTGCAACTTTCAGCTTCTAGTTCCTAAGTTTAAAAACCAAGACTTGATTGCCAGTGGTTAAAAACCTAAAACTTGCACTGATTAAAGTTTTAGATTTCCAGGTGCTGTATTATTACACTTCTGAACCAAAAGATATACTCGCTGACAAAATCTTTGACCAGAAGTAAAAAGAACATACTTGCACCCTGCTGCTATCAATAACTAAAGAGAACTAGCTTTAAAAAAAAAAAAAAAAGAAAGAAAAACAGAATGTCCACTTAATGCCTATTATCTTCCTGTTTAATATGTATTACATCTTTACCCTGAACACAAAATAAAGTCATTTGAGCCTACATCATTGGACATTGCTTCTTTGGTATCAAAACTAACTTTGTAAATTCAGGATCTCATGCTTGTAAAGAAAAATCTAAACCCACTAAGCATTTATTTTAAATCTATAATACTGAATGCAATTTATTAACAAAATAATACCTCCTCAGTTAAATAAAATGTATGCATATGAAACGTGTGGTCCCTATAATGAACTGACTACAGTGGATATTTAACAGCACAGTAATAGTTTCTACAAAGTTTCACGGGAAAGTTTTTGATACTTATAATATGAAGAGAACTTCATCACAAGAGCCTTTAAAATGATTCGCATCTAACTAAATATTTATTATTTATTTTTATAAAAATGTAAAGATACCCCAAAACACAATATTAACATTTGTTTCACTGTTACTAACATTTGTTACACTGCTCAGACAACTTATGAAATTTGAAAGCTCTGTGCTTTCAAAGTATTTCTGGGTGCCCTAGAATTCTGTCAGGCTTCCAAGGAGGTCCTGGATATAATGTGTGGTCATGACAAATGCTTCATCTTTTCAAGGCCCATCTGCCCGCCCATCCCCCACCCCCACCCCCCACCACCTTTCCACCTTGCCCCTCCCCTTTCCGGCAAGGTAATACCAGTTACAGTTCCTGGGTATGAAAACACAAGATTCCTCAAACCCAAAAAAATGGAAAAGTTACAACTCTATAAAACAATTCTACATTAGACAAAATTTAAATGAATAGAACATAAGCATAAAAAGCACACTGTCCTGAAAACAGTACTGCACAGAAAAACCACTACTTAACAATAACAAATGATTATGGTCGATTACAGCAAAAAAAAAAAAAGTTTACCAGAAATTGTCTCAGGTGCTATTCTTGGGGGAAGGGAGCTACAACAGAATTGGAAACTTCCCATTTTTCTGACATATTTCAATACAAAAATATCTTTGCTTGCAATTTATTTTCTACAATTAATCACTATTGTACACATAAAATAAGTTATGAATTTGAAGGTGACAGAAATATGGCCATGGAGTAGTACAATAAAGTCACCTAAGAAACCCCTGCCAATAGCTTCCTCCTGAATTTCAACTGTGTAGATTTTGAAGAAACTGTTGCCTAAAGATTATGCCTTTATCTCAAGAGCTCCCTATTCCTTTTGTTCATCTAGTAAATGATCAATTTGTAGGTACAGTAAAAAAATCTATCTTTTGTGGATCAACAAAAGCATGTAGCTAGGATACCTGTAAAAGTATTTTTAAGATAGTTATGTGTTTTGTTGGTTTTTAAAAAAAGATTTAAATTGTCTATTGTACTGTTGAGTGCTACGCTGTGCCTGATCACCTGAAGAAGTGGAAAGCCTCAGTGGAACAAGGAGTTCCCTATCTACCCTAGGCCCATCTTGACACACCACAGTCATCAGGTCGAACACCAAGCAATGGCTCACCTGAACAAATGGTTGATCTGATGGGGTTATTGATATAAAGGAAATCATTAGACAGCAAACTTTATGACAACTGGGAAAAAAATGGGCAGACCTGGTTTAAGTCCATTAGGCATAATATGGAAATGGCCTTAATCTCTTTCTCTCCCAGCAGGAAAAGGCTAGGAATACTTCAAAGGCTTGAGAGTTACTGACCAATGCCCTCTCTTACAATTAAAAGCAACATGGGTGATCTTAAAGCAGTCAGAGAAATGGAACACTGGGGTATAAGAAAGATTTAGCACTCAAGGGCCATCTACAAAGCAGAAATTATTTCCTTGTGATTTTAAAAATGTAATTACTGATTTACAAAAGATGAGATTTTAGAACAGCTGTTGTTGTGCTGGCCAAACTTTTACACCCAACTCTTCTGATAGTGTGAAACACATTATTTACATAAAGCCACCTCTACAGGTTTGGTGTTCTAAACCTAATTTGACTTTTTTGTCTCAGACTTTTCTGCATGCCTTACTTGGTAACTATTTTTTTAAAAAATCTTAACGTTTGTGTGATTTTTAGAGTTAGCATATAAATGAATCAAGAAATCATCAGAATGTAGCAATGAAATAATAGTCAAATAATCAGGAACATAAACACTTACTTGATAAGGTAAGATGAGCTTTTTGACTAAGAATGGCTCCATATTTGTTCATCGCCAAGCACTGATAAAATCCTTCATCAGACTGCTCTGCTCGCTTGCCTTCCACCTCACTGATGTATAAAGAGCCATTAGATAGAACCTGGATCCGTTTATTTTCAGACACCTTTGCTCCATTTTTCAACCATGTGACCTTAATAGGAACTTCTCCATGAGCCTGGCAATCTAACAGGATTGGGTCCTTTCTTGTGACAGTTACATCCTGTGGTTCTTTTATAAAAAACAGTTCGCTAAAGCACCATACTCCTGTAAGGAAAAAGGGGGAAAGGCATATCAAGAATTATAAGTACAAAATCATTTCTTAACCCACAATTATAAATACACTTATTCAGGGTATAATAAAACAAAGTTTAACAAACCATATTAGTTAACTTACAAACATCTTAATAAGCCAATCTAAGTGTCAGCAAGCCTTTCCAACAAACCAGAGAAATCACCTTTTACAACATCTACACTAAAAGCATAGGGAAGATTTCAATAACTTCTATACCTTGTAAGAAATCTGTTCTCAAGTTTCTTGCTAGAGTTTCAAAATCATCAGGAGAACTCATGAGCACAAGCTGTTTGCTACTTTTACAAGCTTGTCAAAAAGATCTTGAACAGAGTAAGTCGTAAAAGTCTAATTTTACAAGAAATCATTAGCAAAACCCCAACTCTGTGAACAAGCAAGTTTATTTCCTTGTCCCTTGAAGTGTTTTTGGAACCCTTGGCACCTACTCCTTTGGGAAGTGCGTTTATCTTTTGTGACAAATTACAAGTTTGCATTTTTTTATATCTGCTCTTTCACAGCAGCAAAGACTGTCTCTTCTCCTTGAAAAAGACCCAATTTACTTTATTTCTGCAGTCAGATAGGTCTTTAAAGGACAAACAGTTGACTTTGAAAAGTTGGTAACTCTTGCTGCTCGCACTCAGTGGGTGATCGGATTAGGAAACTTTTATTTCATTTTTTTAGAACTGCCAACTGTTGGGAAAAAAATGCATGACTAATTGGTCCTTACTGTCTAATAGGGATAGGAGATTGCTTAATCAACCAGTACACGTTTTTATCAGAGCACAGGAAGGGCTTTATCCTAAGCATACACATCGCCCCCGGTCCCCACCAGGATAAAGCATCCAATGACCACCTAATACCCTTGTCACCTCCCGCATTTAGCTCAAAGACCAGCTAAAGTCTTGCATATTGATTGCGGCCGAGTGGCGTGTTAGAGGTTTGGGGGGGAACGTTTCATCTTCCTTCTGATTGTTTTGAATCCCAAGATTACAAACCCCCGGGATTGGTCTCTGTCTCTCATCAAGGCAGGTCCTCGGTAACCTTACACGCTAGTCACGTTCCCACTCCAGGGCGGACGACTTCTAATGTATGCCCAAGGCGACGCGGGCGACCCTAACAGCCCCGCACTGTGAGGACAACTCCGGATGGCGCCCATTGTGTTTCCTAGTCACATCTAACTTTGATCCTTTTCTCATGCTAACAGAAAACTAACTTCTCCAGGAAGAAAACCAAGTCTGGGGTTTGTAACCCGTAAATAAATAAAACAACCCATTCGCCTGAACACCTCCCCAACCCCCCACCACCACCAGCAACTACATCCACTTCACACTTTTTCTCTCTTTGAGGATAAGCCAACACAATGCAAGAAATAAATTAATTCATCCAAGTTTGCGCAAGGCTAACCTAGAGTTTGCAGAAATCTTCAGATTCCTACACACCTCAGGCCCTGCCCTAAAATACCTGGCAGAGAGAAATAAATCCTATTTCGATGCCTTCCTTGTCAAGTTCGGCTACCTTTCTCCCTCCCCTCCGGGACACAAATCAGCCATGCAACTTTCAATCCTTTTTTTTTTTTTTTTTATAATTCCACCCCTCCCGTCTCCTCCTCGCTCGATCCGCATCCAGGAAGGTGGGGGGCACAGGGGGTAGCTAACCTGGGCGCCGAGTTCACCTACTCTCACCCCCGCCCTAAAACGTGGGGGAACCCCCACTGCAAGCAGGGGAAGCCGCGCAGAACCGCGGCGCCCCCTGCGTGGCGAGGCTGCCACTAAGGAAACAATATAAATAAAGCCACGTGCGGCCGCAGCGGCTCCGGCAGGCGGGCTACCGGGAGCCGGGGCTGGCCGCGGGGGCGAGGACGCGGCCCCGGCGCGGACAATGGCGCCAGAAGGAAGGGGCGAGAGTGGACAGCGGGCGCTCCGGCCCCGCGGCCCGCGGCCGGGGGAGCGCAGCGGGGAAGGACGTGCGCTGGGAGAGGCGGCCGAGGGCCACTCGCAGCTCCGGCGGCCGTTCCCGACCGGCTGCAGGAGGGGGACAGGGGCCGGCGGTCAGCGCCCCCGCAGAGGACCCCGCCCCCGCAACGCGCACCCCGCGTTTCCTCTCGCCGCAGCCCGCTCACGCCCCACAGGCGCAGAAGCGCGCGCGCCCACCTGGAGCCGAGTCGAGGAGCAGCCGGAGCAGGAGCGCGCGGAGCAGCAGCATCCCCGGCGGCCGCGGCCGGGCGAGGGGTCGCGGAGGAGGCGCCATTCAGCGG